CCCAGACGTTTCCCAGATTTCAATCTGAAACCAGTCCAAGTTACCAGAGAGACAATATGAACACACACACACTGGAACTATAGGCCGAGGCTGTTTCTGAAAAAAAAATAATAATAAAAAAAAATAAAAAAACATGGAGAACTCACTCGTGAAGAGCTCACTATTTAAACTATAAAGCAAGATCAGTCTCAAAAATAATATATTTATAAAATAAAATTCCTACACAGTTCACAATTTTAAGATTGATTTTGTAAATTCAAAACACAATTTGTAAATACGCAAATCCAAATTCAAGTTTCGTGAAATTAAAACACCATTCATAAATATGTAAATTAAATTGGGAAATTCAAAACACAATTCATAAATTCAAAACAATGTAAATACGCAAATCCAAATTCATAAAACTATTTGTAAATTCAAAACACAATTCAGAAATATGCAAATATAATTCTCAAACTCAAAACACCATTCGTAAATACCTAATTTGCAAATTCAAAACACTGTTCGTAAACACGAAAATCCGAAATCAAAAAATAATTCTTAAATTCAAAACACAATCCATACATATGCAAATCCAAATTCAAAACCCAATTCGCAAATTTAAAACACCATTTGTAAATATGCAAATCCAATTCGCAAATTCAAAACACAATTCGTAAATACGCAAATCCAAATTCAAAACACAATTTGTAAATTCAAAACATCATTCTAAAATTCAAAACACAATTCATAAATATGCTAATACAAATACAAAACACTATTTGCAAATACGCAAATCCAAATTCAAAACACAATTTGCAAATTAAAATCACCTTATGTAACACAAATCCAAATTAAAAAAACTATTTGCAAATTCAAAACACCATTTGTAAATACGCAAATCCAAATTCAAAACACAATTTGCAAATTCAAAACACCTTATGTAACGCAAATCCAAATAAAAAAAACTATTTGCAAATTCAAAACACCATTTGTAAATGCGCAAATCCAAATTTAAAACACAATTCGTAAATGCACAAATCCAAATTCAAAATACAATTTGTAAATACGCAAATCTAAATTTAAAACAATTCTTAAATACACAAATCAATTTCAAAACACAATTTGTAAATTCAAAACACAATTCATAAATATGCAAATATAATTCTTAAACTCAAAACACCATTCGCCAATTCAGAACACCATTTGTAAAAAGGCAAGTGACGATAACCATTTTCAAGGTATAGCGCGAATTAGTCAGATTTAGTTTTAGTTTCTTACTTAGACATTAAAAAGAATATATATTAGAGCAGTAATCACAATACTGTGATACCATGAAACCGTAATGTTTTTAACCAAGGTTATCATACCATCAGAATGCCCATGCCTATTTGAAAATACGCAAATACAAATTCAAAACACCATTCGCAAATACGCAAATACAATCCATAGATTCAAAACACAATTCATAAATAAGCAAATCCAAATTTAAAACACAATTCGTAAATTCAAAACACCATACGTAAATACGCAAATCCAAATTCAAAACACCATTCGTAAATTCGCAAATCTAAATTCAAAACACCATACGTAAATACGCAAATCCAAATTCAATACACCATTCAGAAAGAAGCAAATGCAAATAGTAAATTTATCATTCACAGATCACATAATTTTATTTACTGATCAATTAAACACGCAAGGCTACTTTATGCATTAAATAATTATATAAAGAATTGAATTATCCTTATTTCCGATCTCTTAGACCTACACTTTATTCTGTTTTACAGTTTTAACATGTACATGGTGTTTAGCAAACATTTTAGCACTTCGAAAGTAATTAAATTACGTGTCTTTTACTAAAAAACAAAAGATCAAGGATTGAAATGAAAAAACAATCACGCCATCTTGCAATGCTTTGAGGGCTAAATTCGTGAGTTAAAACTATACACATGAAGTAAACATTCTATACAGATAAATCCAAGACCAATAAAAAGATCTAGATATATTTTTATTTATTTATTTTATTTTACTTTAATAAATAGATTTTAGTGTTACTTTGTAAAATATCTACGTCATAATTTCTTCAATTTTCAATGTTTATTTAAAAATAAAACATTAAAAAGCCAGCGAAGAGAAGTTTAACCCTAACCCTAACATGACCTTTATTGAATTATTCACAGGGTGAACTATTATATCAATTATTATTATTATTGCTGGTCAACAAGCCTACTTATTTCCCGAATACAATGGGACTTCAACACACAAAAGACACACAATAATAACAACAAAAAAACTCCTACTTTCCAATGTTGTCTGGAAGTGCTTGTAAGGAAATGTCATTGATGGAAAGGCATGCTAAATTCCGTAATTCTGGAAAACTTTCAGGCAATCTGAAACAAAACAAACACATAAAGCCTTTTTCACACAGGGAATGACAGAGTGTACAGGTGAATATACATACATAGGAATAAATCACGAACATTTTAACTCAAACTGAAGCTGATCTGAGAACAGCAGCATTACAACATCCAGCAAATCGGGGGAACAAACAATTAAACTGGGCCAAAGTGGATCCAGTACTAATGCATAACGGATGACCTGTCCAGCACAACAGCGCCATTAGCATAGCGTCAATAAACCACAGAGACGTCCGTTATCGTGTTTGTCGTGAATTACACCACAATTAAGAGTCGCTTAAACAAGCACACAGACCCGATGCAAAATGATCTGATAAGCGACTCTACAACTGATACAGCACTGAAGATGCGTTCAATATCCAAAAATCATGTTTAAATATGATAATTAGGCTTTAACAGAGCATCTCTTAACTATCAACGCATTGCAATGGATGTTTTGAAACTACAGAGCAATGATTATAAAAATAAGTGTTTAAGTATACAGGTGAAGTCAGAATTATTATCCCCCTTGAATTATTCGCCTCTGTTTATTTTTAAATGCACATCATTTACCTTGTCAAAGGATTTCCACTAAAATCTGCTACTTGGAGGGTTTTACAATATGAAATGCTTTCAGGGAGCTCCATGATGTCTGCGAAAGAGAGAAGAAACAGATTTTATCCACTTGCAACAATAAAAACCTTGTAATACTGAAAACAATCCTTGAAAGCTGCCCATGTAGGCTGTATTTTATGGATTCGAAGAACACCCGACCAATAGTGGGTTTGTCAAATATATATAGTCTACGATAATATTGTGATAGTTGATTTAACAATGCGAGCTGACATTATCCAGTATGTCTGTGACTTCGCAAAACCCAAACATTAGCGTGTCTTAAGAGTACAAAGGCAAAGACTACAGTGAAACCTGTCGGAACACAGTCAGAATAAACACATAATTCAAGCTATAAAATTATTATTACAATAATATTTTTATTAACACTTAAATTTGTATAGTATTACTTATTTTACACAACAGTTCAACAAACTAGCCCCTTTAGACCCTGCGTCTATTACGATGGACATCACATGACATCCCATGTTTTTTTCACTCACGGAGCATTTCACTAGAGGTGTGAACCTATACTGGTCTCACATTTCGGTTCAGTTACGATTATCATGCCGCCGATTCGGTTCAATTCGATATCTCAGTGCATCACGGTGCATTGACGATGCTTTCCATATATAGTGTTATATTTTAGGGGGAGGCTATAACAAGCTGTCTGTATAAACACACAGAGACACAGCAACACACTGTCTCTCATTCAAACACATACATAAACATAAACAGCACCAAACAAACACACACACACACACACACACTTAAGCCCTCGCAACAGGGAGAGCTCGCGTTCAGCCCATCAGCCCAGGTGTGGAAATCATCCTTTGCGGTCTGTTGTCTACAGATCCAGTAATGCGGAAATATAGTGTGCTGCTAGTAGCGGGGATGAAAAATAGCTGGAAATGATCGAACCTAAAGCGGATTTAAAATTGGATGTGTGGAAGCATTTGGGGGTGTTGTTGTTGTCGCCGCGCGCGTAGTGAAGAGCCGTTGAAGAGTGGTGTTGTCGCGCGCGTTCTGATCAGCTGTGTTGTCGCGCGCCTACTGTAAAGTGCTGGGTTGGGGGGGGAGTTGAGCGCTCATACTCAAGAGCGGTGTCGTCGCGCGCCTACTGCAGGGCAGGACGGAGGGTGTGTCGCGTCGCAGGGGCACTTTTGATCATTTTGGAAGGGCACTTTCTATCCAAGACATGTGTAAAAAGGGCATGTGTACTGCACAGGTTGAGCCCTATGTGTGCACGTGCCTGCAAGTTGGGGAATACGACTAATAACAGTCATGGGGACTGCAGAATACAGCACACTTGTTAGATTGATGCAGATATTGACTTGTACCGTAAAGAGACCTCTATCTCACTCATGGCTTGTCCTCTCAAGTGGTGGAAAGACAATGCACAGCGTTACCCACTGCTGTCAACCTGGGCCAAGTCATATCTCTGTCCCAGAAACCTCAGTCCCAAATGAGAGGGGTTTTTCTGTTGCAGGGGACATTGTAAATGCCCAGAGATACCAGTTTTTACCAGATTATAGTCATATGATAATTTTCCTTAAAAAACCCATCTCTATCTAAGTGAGTGAGTGATTAAATGTTGAATGTGACGAGTTTAACAATACTAAATTGAAACTTTATTTTTTTATATTTAATAATTTTTTGTTATTGAAAAATTTAAGTTCCTGTTTCAAAGCTTACAGATAGATGGCTAATTTGTATGTCATTGACACTTTTGGCACTTTTTTTGAGTATTTTCATTAGTTTTGTTTTTCCTGTAAATGATTCAATAAATACCGTACCGTGCCATTCATACCGAGGTATTACCGTACCGTGAAATTCTGATACCGTTACATCCCTAGTGATTAATATTATCAATTATAATACATGTTTGTTTTTTATAAATTCCATACATATAATAGTATTTAATTGATCAGAAATGTCAATTATCAGAATTGTGCCAGCCTAAAAAGATGCGTCTTCAAGTGAGATTTGAACACATGAAGAGAGTTACTATCTTGTGAATACAAGCATATCTTATATATATATATATATATATATATATATATATATATATATATATATATATATATATATATATATATATATATATATATATATATATATATATATATATATATATATATATATATATATATATATATATATATATATATATATATATATA